TAATTATACGTTATCATTATAAATTCACACTGATTGCTACATGTATGTCTTGAACAATTTTTCATATCATTAAATCTGAGGGAGATAAAAACAGTCTAACCTGTATTAAACGGCCACTGTTGGGAAATTATGAAAGTGGCCTTTATAGAGAGGTGGCCTCTTAATTGAGGTTCTTTATTTTCGAATCCAAGTTGCGGCAATTTGCACATTGACATTTGAATACAGTTTAATAAGAAGATATAAAACATCATCTGTTATTATTTATTATCTTGTTAGCAAGTAATTTGAAGACAGACCAATCTTTATTTTATAACACGACTATAAATGCAAAAGAACAAATTTGAAAGGAAGGCATGTACAAGTTTTAATGAAGTTATTGAAAACTTCTTAATCGAACAACCGTAATGTTCTACTTGTAATTTCGCTTGTGATTCAAGTCAAAACATTTTCTTTGTGGTTTGGTTTGTTAATGCAAAAAATTTTACCAATAATTGTTAATATTTATTTGAATATATTACATTTACGACCAAGAAAACGTAAACACAAATTATTCATTCTTAATCTGCCTGCGTTTTCAATCAAACACTCGATGCCATGTCTAAACGACATCCAGTAAAGACTAGAATCTAGAGTGGGCGGGAACTTTACAATGACGTCGCACAAAAAATGGCGGCGGAGCGGAAGCGTTCCAGTATTGTTTTTATTGTTCTTACAACCTTCGCAAACGTACCACTGCGTTGCTTTTGCTTTCTACCCATTAAAATATTTCTTTATAAAATTTCTCATCTGTTGTCGGGAATGTTTCTGGGTTTTTCTCTACTCCTCATTAATATTCATGACCTCAGGTCACGGATAGCCGCTCTCTATTCTAGTGAAATGTTGATTTTACGAAGCGAAAACACTCTCAATGAAATTTGATCGACAAAAAACAACTAAATGTGGTATATTTTGACAGTGCATTTATTCTCTCTTAATGATCGATATTTTGTTCGATACAGAAACTTCCGATCCGATATATCTATCGAACGTAAAATAGCGGTTTTCGATACATATCATAGTATACAGTTGACTGTCCCTGACAAGGTCATTAATCTGGTACCAGTCGCCATCCATTCTCTCCCTCCTCCTTGCTAGCTATTCCTTTGCTTTACAACCACATCATTCTTTTCTTCCTCCCTTCCCTCCTCCTTGCTAGCTATTCCTTTGCTTTACAACCACATCCTTCTTTTCTTCCTCCCTTCCCTCCTCCTTGCTAGCTATTCCTTTGATTTACAACCACATCCTACTTTTCTTCCTCCCTTCCCCCCTCCTTGCTAGCTATTCCTTTGCTTTACAACCACATCCTTCTTTTCTTCCTCCTTGCTAGCTATTCCTTTGCTTCAACCACACACTACTTTTCTCCTCCCTTCCCTCCTCCTCCTTGCTAGCTATTCCTTTGCTTCACAACCACACACTACTTTTCTTCCTCCCTTCCCTCCTCCTCCTTGCTAGCTATTCCTTTGCTTTACAACCACATCCTACTTTTCTTCCTCCCTTCCCTCCTCCTTGCTAGCTATTCCTTTGCTTTACAACCACATCCTACTTTTCTTCCTCCCTTCCCTCCTCCTCCTTGCTAGCTATTCCTTTGCTTTACAACCACATCCTACTTTTCTTCCTCCCTTCCCTCCTCCTTGCTAGCTATTCCTTTGCTTTACAACCACACCCTACTTTTCTTCCTCCCTTCCCTCCTCCTTGCTAGCTATTCCTTTGCTTTACAACCACACCCTACTTTTCTTCCTCCATTCCCTCCTCCTTGCTAGCTATTCCTTTGCTTCACAACCACACCATACTTTTCTTCTTCCCTTACCATTTTCAACTTTTTATTCTTGTTTCCTCTCCTTTGGAAAAAATTGTTAAATAAAACAAAATAGACAAGAAAAAGCGTTCATTTTCTTTCCTTTAATCAGTCTTTATAATGTTGCTCTTTGGAATGTATGGAAGAGAAAAATGGTCTTTTGTAATTTATGTTTTTTAATTAACATATATTATATTATTCGTGTGTATATGCGGTTTAAAAAATAACACCCCCCCCCCCAAAAAAAAAAACAAAAACAAAAACAAAAACAAACAAATACAAATAAAAAATCCCATAAATAAAAAATAAACAAAAGTAAAACAAAACAAGAGCAGAAGATGACCGTATATTTGTATCCTTTTTTTCTGATGATGTTTGTTGGAAGTTAATCAGAATGATTATTGTCACCACTAAATATGTCTTGGCAATTATAATATAATTATGATGACATACTGACACACGATTCATTAGTTTTGTCACGTCTGTAATTTCTTTACCGTCAGATCGGATTTTTTCTCGCCTCAGGTACATGTATCGGGTTGTTATAATCGTACAATGTATATGTCGCTAAAATTGACAACTGTACTAATTATATTTGATTGCTTAATTAACTCACGAATCACACTTTTTAACAAAAATCCGTATTTGTCTATGCCGACGTGTTACCAATATCGTCAAGAAAAGCAAAGGTTTTATTTGCTAGTGTCCCGATCGTAAATAAATTCCATGTTTTAACAGACAAATAAATGTAGATATTAATGGAGCATTAGACATTTATGTAAGATTCTCATCCGTATTCTCCACCTTTCTGACTTATTCATCAGTATAAGTGAAAAACGCAGAAACATCCATCAACAATTATGTTAATACAAACGTTTTAAAATTAAAATGCATTTTAATTCTGAACAAAATACGAACGAAGGGCAGGATGCATTTTAATTAATTTCATGATAAATAAAGCTTAATTTAGTAACTCGGATGAGAGAGACCACTAATAGTTCAGCGACACTTCAACATTATGTTAATGAAGTGAGTGAGAAGTCAGTTAGATATACCTGGAAAGCCGCGGGTCTTATTACCCACATCTAACTGACAAGTTACACTTCGTTCAGTGATAATCGATTAATTAATACCGGGAAGCGAGCTGGGACAGCGTTTCCGGACATAGCCATCACGTTATCCCACCTCGGGTGTGAAAGTTGCGTTTTTTTATTGTGCGTTGGTCAGGAAATGACAGATTTAATTTGTAACAGTTAACTGCTGACTACCACAGACGTTGTTGAACGATACACTAATTAAATTATATCATTTAAAATAACAACATATAAATAAATTAATGATAATAAAACATAGATCTATATCAGAATCTAGACCCATACCAAACATAAGTAAAATACATACTTTCTTAAATTGTGAAAGATGAGATATATAACGATAACGAAGATCACAATTAATAACCACTGATGACACAGGGTCATACAAGTTGCTACAACTTGTTACTGGGTCCTATTAATTTGTGCTGTGCCAGGTTTATATCAATGACACAGAGATAAGAAGGAATTCAGTAAGATCCTCGGTGTACAGTTTCTACTGTACTCTAAACACTATACATTTCATTATACAGATGTATTAGCACGGTGTTCTGATCAAAATATAAATAATCACCCAAATAGATAATCTTTTCTGAAACTGCCTTGTGTCAATGTTACCATAGAAATAACAGAACGCCTCGGAATGCCGGTCTCGTTTTTTAATTCGCATTTATATTTGACCTTTTCTTCTTCCTAGATTTTTTGTACAGAAAAATGTATAAAAGCTACCGGGTACTTTAGTTTACATAGTTTACCAAATAAAAGGACGAGTCAATTATAATAACAAACACTGACGAAACCGAAACTGTAATATAGGGACATTTTGTAATGTTGTATAGTATTGTTATAAGTAGCACAATGTTGTATACTATTGTTATAAGTAACACAATGTTGTATAATATTGTTATAAGTAACACAATGTTGTATGATATTGTTATAAGTAAGACAATGTTGTATAATATTGTTATAAGTAACAAAGTAACACAATGTTGTATGATATTGTTATAAGTAACACAATGTTGTATACTATTGTTATAAGTAAGACAATGTTTTATAATATTGTTATAAGTAACAAAGTAACACAATGTTGTATGATATTGTTATAAGTAACACAATGTTGTATACTATTGCTATAAGTAACACAATGTTGTATACTATTGTTATAAGTAACAAAGTAACAAAATGTTGTATACTACTGTTATAGAAAGTAAGACAAGTATTCATTGAAGCACTTGTAAGTAATACAATACTTATATCATCCGTATATTAATCAAGCATCCGTGCAGAACAAATTACAGTGAAGAATTAAAGTGCAGACTAAGTGAAATTTGACTTATTTTGTCCATTCCCTGTAAACCAATGTATAACAGTGAATTTAAACTGACTGTTGTCGAAAACAACCTTATTTTCAACAGAAAGTCCACGTTACATGTATGTCTTTCTGTAAAAGGAGTGGGTCGGTCCTATATCATGTCTCCATTTTTAACGAGGAGGATATGATTTTGTTGACTGAGAATATTCAATAGAAAATTTACTTCGAAGTTATAGTGAGCTGTGAAATACGTTCAATAGTACTGTGAAAGTGCCGAGGAAAAATAAATTAGTGGATCGGCGTATAGTAGGTAACATTACCAGACAGCGACAATACATTGTCACCTAATGTGACATTGAAACGAGAAGCAATTTGAATGACCACGCCCCTCCCACCACTCCTAATCCAATCAATAGCACGCCTCTATTTAATTAGCCGAGTCACATGACCCGCGGCATCACTCCGTACAGGCGTATAAATGTCATGTAACATCTTGGTTTAATCATATTATCTGTCTTTAAGACTTTTGGAAGAAGCAAACGTCCCGCCTGAAGTAAAACCATAGTTCGAGTTGTACAGTTAGGGTTCTGGTGCCTGCCTAGACGTTATCTCGGTTATTTTGTGACGTTTGACATATTCTGCCTGTTTTGACTGTATGTTAAACATTGATTTGATGATGAGTGCTTTTTCTTATTAACTGAAACAAATGATTTTTTTCTAACTTGATAACTAAAGTCTAACAGTTAATAGAAAACTTTCCAGGATGAACACCACGGCTTATTCGCCCTACCAGGTCTCACACGGATTCTGGCCCTTTTCTACATGTAATATGAAGCCCCTGGAGCTCCCAATTCATCCGGCATTTATACATCATCCTTATCCCAATTTTAATGTGCAGTGTGTAAACTCTGAATCGACACCGAACACGACAGTCCGTAATAAGTCCGACTCGTTTACCATTGACGCCATCCTGAGTCGGGATCGAGTCGATGAGATCCAACATTCTCCGAGCGAAAAATCCGACCAATATTCACCGAAAAACCAACATGTAATTAAAGAAAGTTCATCAGCATCTCGAAGACATGCGCGACTCCAGGAAAACTGCCATCCCTACAGATCACCTAGCAACAGAAATGTTACAACACCAATATCACATCCGAACAAGAAACAGTCCAACACTAATCCAGTAAAAGGTAAGGTTTTATTTCTAATCAAATTACTAATTGTACGTTTCATTCCGAAAATTCATTGGCTGTAAAATACTTTCCACATAACACTAAGTTGGATAATTTGTTTGCAATATTGAAGTCGGTCCATATTTTATCGGACCCGTAGCTTTTTCTATGAAGAAATTAACACTGAGAATCGTTTCGAAGGCGAAACATTCAAAATAGAATAATTTGGGTATGATATTTGAAGATATAAAATAAATGGCGGGGAAATATGGAGTGGAGAAAATTAAGACCCATGTACCATGTGTTCGTTTTCATATGTGTAATTCGCTTTGATACATTTTATGACCTACCTGATTAAGAATTGTACACTTACCAATCTCATGACATTTAAATTAAGATCTTTCTTGTAAGTTAAAAACCTAAACAAACTATAAAATATAACGATTAAAACCCCTCCGTCGGTCATCTATTTATGAGAGTGAGAGTAGCATAATGTCAACAAAAAAATCATGTTTTTGCTTGTTTGTTATTTATTTTTCGTTTGTTTGCTTTTTGTTTTCTTTTCTAATGTATAAATATATACTTTATTCTATGAATTAAGTGTATGATAATCTGTCATACCTCAAAATCCGAAAATAATTTTATAGTAAGTGATCAAGCTTGGACATTATACTTCATTGATGCCTAAAGATTGTCCGTCAAATTTCTAAACATATGAAGTATTTTAAGATACAGGTATACAGGTTTAGATTTATTAAGCATTTAATTAAGAACTCATACAGCCTTTTAATATCTACAATAACAAGTCGCATACATGTTTTGAAAAAAGTAAATATATTCAATTTCTTTCTAGAAGTTTTCGGTTTGTTTACCATAGCCCCTTTGTTATTTTAAACAGTATATGTGAGTCTTTTATATTGTCCGTTTGTCTGATGTTACATTCTATTTATTTTACTTTTTCTATCCACTATATGTTGGTCCTGATGGCCATCTCTGTGTTGAAGTGCCGTTAAGTATACAATGATAACAAAGACTTATTTAAGTTTCTTTCGCTCTGTATGTCGGTGTCATGGAGGATGAGGTTTCGTCCTGTCTATTTCCATCCAAATTGTAATAAATTGTTTTTACAAAATAGAATTATTGTATGACAGAGAATTAAAACTGAAATTGGTAAAGGACTAAACTCGCCCCCTACTATATATTACTTATTTTTAATTATGTTTGAAACAAAGATAATAAAGCGTCTACATTATGGATATCTGAATGACACTGAAAATATTTTTCTTCTTATTAATTTTTCAATCTCAATCAGCCAGCCTTTATTTGGTATTCGTAACAGAATTTTAACACTGTCAGTCTGAAAACAGTCTACATTGTATAGATACGAATGATGCTGAAGTCCGTCGTCATGGAAATCACTAACTTCGTCTTATTTTATTGAATTTCTAAATATCTCCCATTAAAATAATCCACTAAAGAAAATATGTAGTGAGTTGAGCTGGAAAAATAGCTTTGTCGTATCTACTTCAGCTTTAATCTCATTCCATTTTATTTCCCAATCATCTGAAAACTGAGGATGTATGAATTAAATCTATGGGAATATACAATGGTTGATACAGTGTGGGAGGTTCGTTAGATCTGGGATCTACAATACCACTTTCCAGATTCTGGGATTCTGTAATTCAATGTAAATTATCAGACTGGTGAAAACTACAAAATATATTTGATTATGAAATCATCTAAATTTTGACTTTCCGGATTTTCCTCAGACGCCTCCTCGGTTTCAATATTTACGTCGTTGGCATCACTGACGAGTTATAGAAGGGCGAAACATCTGTATTACGCAGTTTAATTATTTGTTTGGAGCTTCTGTATCTAAGGTGCTATTCACGTGTATGTCTCCCTAAGGTGTTGGCCTACGTAAAACTTGGCTGAAGATACGACGTGGTTTGACGCTTTCTATCCGTCGTGGTGTACGTTTCTCATGAAGCTGACAACCCTGTCTCTGCTGTTGTGGTGGTGTCCATGGGTAAAGATACTTTACCCTGATTGCTCTGGGTGACATGCGACGGGTCTCCCGTCTGTTGTTTGGTGAGATAGTCACCAGCTCCTCCATTTGTACATCTGCTCAGAATAACTATTTAGATCGATCTTCAGAGTCTACGATGGTCTCTTTAGACCTCCCTCCAGACACTTTGAGGGCACCTAACACCACTCTTAACGGTCCGTGAGAGTCTCTCTAGGCCACTCTTTAAGGTCCGTGATAGAGTCTTAAGACATTTCTCCAGAGTCTAACGGCGGCTCTGTAGACCGCTCTTTTAGGTCTGTGAGAGAGTCTTTAGATCTCTCTCCAGAGTCTATGAGAGGCACTTAACACCACTCTTTAAGGTCTACCCGAGTCTCTTTAAACGACTCCACAGGGTCCAAGAAAGTCTCTTTAGATGTCTCTCCAATGTTAAGATCAACTAAAAAGCCTTAGTCTCACCTTCAAGAAAACATTAATATATATAGAATGCATGTGAAATATCTCGGACACATCTGGCCCTTATGCAGGAAATGGGTTCTGTTTCTGAATCTAGAGTTATTTGTTGCAGTTTATTTTTAACTGACGTCAATGAAATATGAGTGGAACGATGACGTAGAAAAACAAAAAAATATGTAGCAAAATACAATTTAAAACTTAATAAGCTATTTGTGAATCAGGATGTGTTTGAGGCAAGGTAAGACTTAGCTTCAGCAGTGTAGGAGATGTTCTGTGTTATAAGAAGTGTATCGGTGTAAGATGTAGTTGTTAATTTGAGTGGATAGAATGATCTACTAAAGCTGTCAGACTTCAAAGTTTAATGTCAAGTCAGCTTTATTAGAAATTTTCTAAAACGTTTCCCATTGAGATATCAGTTACATAGATAACTTTACTCTTATCTCTTAACGGAGAATGTAACGTTAAAAACATCCCACGTGCTCTAAAAATAAAAGTTCCACAGAGTTGGAATATTTTCCAATTAAATACAAATTTATAAAATCGTCAAGTTTGTCTGATTGTATTTATGTGGTAGAGAGTTGACAGTAAATTACACCTGAAACGATCTTCATTTTGTGTGGATACGCTGAACAATAGAAACATCAGGGATACAATTTATCGCAGTATATCTTTAGGCCAGTAATTAAAGACAACACTGGCCCCCTGCGAGGACAAATAGATCAGAATTATTCCGGAACAACAGGATATCAGCCTTTTCAGAATTTAATACATCATTTGTAAAGCGGGTGCTATTTGGGCCACCCACCCTTCTCTATTACAGAAGCGTCAATGACTATTTATTGTGTCCGGGGTACTGGTAGGGTGCCCGACGGGGACCGTCACACTGAAATTATCACAACATGTTTCAGAAACACCAAGCTGAATGTGTTTTTACTGGTATTTCGAAGATAAAATATTGTAACCGCATAATGCGTTCTAAATATTTCATGAGTATAGAGTGAATAGTAAAACAAACTCAAATCTTCCCCTGTGATTTAAATAAGCTGTTTGCAATGGCTATAATTCCTAACAGTTCAGTATTAATATTCCAAAGTGTCTTTACATTCACCGACGCCTTAAGGGAAGCAACGTACCACGGTGCCCATTGTGAACCCCAATGCTTGCTCACTTTATTTGGTCTGAAATGAAATCGAGTGTCATTTAATTTTGGATTGAATTAATCAATTTTGTAATTATTCTGAGATGTAAGAACTCGTAAGAGACTTTTTAGAGCACTACTTCTCAACGCGCAGGTGTGGGGTCCTGATAAGGTGACTGTGGCTTTATTAGTACACAGGGTTTGAACGTGAATGACGGGTCTTGACGGAAGGACATTCACACTTGTAAAGTAACTGGGTACAACATTTTTGGGGTTATCGTAATTAAAGAGAAAATTAAATGAAAAAAAAATAAATGACGGAAAGAATCAAATTAGATAAGATTGAAATCAATATTGAGAAGACAAATTCCAAATTTACAATTAATGAATGAGCGATGTCTTCCATATAAACTGTGACGTCACACGATAGAATCATATGAATGCTATATATCTAGTATTTACAGGATAAGCTCTGTGAGACGCTTTTTATGATGTAAGGTATACTGAATATGTAAATTACAGATTTTATGATAAAGAACAGGATAGCGAATAGAATATACGGGAAATTCTGTAAAGGGATTAAAATGGAGAAGGAAATGTACACGTCATTCTTAGTTTTAAACACACATACACTTTTTCATAACGTTCTGGACTATTATGAGTATCATGTCGATTTAAATCAAACAATTTTTAAATTTTCAATAATGATTATTAAAGTCTGACTCCCAGGTATTGGTTTTATCTCAATTACATGGGGTCATTTCTAAAGTTCGTTTCTTTTTTTTTCTAATATACGGTATGTCTAATGTTTGTTGTATAAAATCAGAAGGGGCTAAGCAAATTCCAGGCCATGAACATTTCACACGAAAGTTGTCCATATTTTTTATGACCTGAAGTACCTGTGTGTAATAGATGGCTAACAAAGATTTAGTTTAACAGGCTTTTTTTGTGTGTTACCTTGTTCAACATTAAGTAAGTTCATGTGTACATTTCTCATCACTCTATTTAGGAAAATAACACAGGAAAACGATATTTCATATTCACACCATATAATTTTAACTTATTTAATTCCTTTATTTGTAGAAAAAAAACTACAAAAGAGTTCTATTTTCCGTAGCACTATCTTAAAGGCCTGTTCTGTAAACATACGTATTTATTCCAGTGCTCTATGCAGACCCAATGAGCTAACTAGATGGTAGCATAGAAAACATTTGTTAGATAAATACACGTGTTTGTATTGTGTTTATATCTTATTACGAAAAGACACCCCATGATTTTGTCATATCTAGAAAGGAATATTGACACGAATGTCATTTAAGTACATATAGAAAACACAAAGAAAGTTATTCACAAACATCTGCGAACACTTTTGAATTGTTATTGTAGGCGAAAATATTGACAGGACTCTGCTGGTGAAGGCACTTATTGCTAAAGTGCCTGATAAAACCCCCTCAATGAAAAGTAAACATGGAATACATATAATTATTTAACTACAGACCCGTAATTAGATTCGTAATTATATTAAAATCCCACACTAACGGGCATGGAAACTTTAAATGGAACGCATCCCGTAATGATACATTCCGGATAACGGTGGCCGGACACCAACAAGCTTTTACTCTATTCCCAAACCCAGAATGAAAAGCAAGTGTTTTGTTGGAGTGTTTGATTCAGATTGGATCAATATATTACGAGAATAGGCCTTTGGTTAGTAATGAGGGACCCATATAATGAATAAGATCATAAAAACGCAATGGAGATCAAAAAGGCGTGGCTGGGCGTGGCCGAACTTTTAACAGTATAGACGTAAAGGGCCTCACTAATACATTTTTCAGGTGTTCCACAAATAATTCTCTACAAGCACAGAAGGTTTATTTGAAGACCTTATTGTCAATTCTTTACATCCAATGTTAGTAGAGAGGATATAATAAAATCATTTTTTATAACAAGTTGGGTTTGAATAAATTTATAACAATGCGATCAGAATTAACGTGACGTTTATTGAACGCCACTTAATGCTTGGCCAGGGGAGTGTCATTGTGTTCTTTCCAATACACTCATTAGCACTAATATTGATTAACATTACGAGTATAGCTGCCCTTTTTTCGTTTAAATATAAACACTTATGCGATTGATGCATTTGGTGAAAGTGTTTTAATAAGTGCAAAAATCAAACAATATCTTAAAATGTGTAGCTCATCTTAATTGTTCATCATTGATCTTTCTATTCTTATTCTGTTTATGCTTTCTAGACCTGAAAGAAACAATATGCTATTTACAAAAGTTCATAAATGTAGACATGTTTATCATCGATACACAGACCATAGCAGGTACCTATTTATCACTATTTTTTTCAAACTGTTTGTTTTATTATGTGTTCACAGATAAAGCAGAATCTACTTTAAATGAGTCGAATATAAAAACAGACTGGAAAACTGGCAAGGGCAAACGAATCCGGACAATATTCACCCCAGACCAACTAGAAAGGATGGAGGCAGAGTTCGAAAAACAGCAATACATGGTTGGCACGGAACGGTAAGAGAAAATGACATACATCTATCTAATAGGGGTAATATTGGTCATGGCAGCGTGTGGCTAAATTTTGATCATTGCCCTGTTACCTGGTTAATTGCCTGGGTTGTGACTCGTGGAGTTGTCCATTTTCTGTAGACACCTTCCGATGTAAATCCCCACATAGACAACCAGTAAAGCGTTCTATCGTGATACCCCAGACTCAATTATCTCTTTATTACTTATCATGCGAACGAAGTATTATTAAATCGTTATCAAAAAATCGAATGAAAAAAAGGAAAATAAAAATAAACGTAGCATCATTTTAAATATCGTATACGTCACTATAATGTCTGTATTCCCCTTAGTCATAGATGGCCTATAGCCCCAGTGTTGGTCAGTATAACAACGGTCCACTTTGACTTCCTTCTCAAATTTCTTTTCTAACTATTACAGATATTATCTGGCGTGCTCTCTCAGTCTCACGGAGGCCCAGGTGAAAGTGTGGTTTCAGAACAGACGTATAAAATGGAGGAAGATGAACCTAGAAAAACAACAAGCAAAATTGGCGTCTTTTGACTTATTTCGAGACGTAGATGGTGAGACAGACTCTATCGCCAGCGATGACGATGATAACCGGCCTCCGCGGTAATCAGTAACTAGGTCAACCTTAACCCTTTCAAAGAGTGGTATATTAATAATGACATTTGACCTCCAACCTCGAACAGGTAGTCATGAACAGCTACACAACTGGTTACCATGGATACCAATTCAACCTGGTTGTCTTTCTTACACAAGCAATTGATCTCGTAGTAACCATTAAAGATTATTCTGTTCTAACTGCTGACCATGTAAAACCCACGATGCTGCGTTGTTTAAGATTTTCCTGTCTAATGCTCAATTCCATGTGTATCAACGCAATATCAATTCAAATAGAACAATGCCATCGACTGATGTGTCCATCTCTACATACCTGAATTGAGCAAGACTTGATGACGTGCGGACGTCCAGTGAGTGTATGATTGATTGGTGAATGTTTGACGTGATCAAGCGCATAGTGCTGCACAACATGTAGAACAACGCTGTATATATGTGATGATTAATATTGTATAGACTATGTGATTTCATGGTAATTATATTTATGAAAATTGTCTTGTTTTCTTTCTTTAATTGCGTGCTCCATAGATTGACATACATTTTAAATCCGTATCTACCATATATTCAATAACAATTTGATATCAAATGTATTATCAGAAGTGCTCTAGTTTCCGTGTCTTTTAGTAGTGACCACGGTGTAATTAAAGCTAAACAGACAACGTTAAGAGATACAAATCCTACGTTACACTACAGTATTGGGAACTTCATAATAATGGTAAAAACACGAATAAATTCTTTGTACGATCAATTATGATGCATTTTCTGTAAGATATCACTGTGATGCCTCATCAGGCTGACTATTAAATGAATAGTCGTTAATGTTAAAGCTAAACAACTGTAGATTAGGATCAAGATATTTACGTAGAAATTTCCAAATTTGTACGAACTTCAAGGAACCGATGTTTGAAGAAGAAGAAGAAAATAGATAAGATATAGTTTGTTAATTTCCACATCTACAAGTTGAGCAATATTACAATTTTTCGTCCTATTTACCGGTGTGTTGCCGGTAGAATTACCAATATTATTCCAAGAGGTCACCATCACTTATTATGTGATAGCTTCATCACATCATAAAACAACTAGATTAAGAAAGAAGGTATAGCTGGAGAACAAAGCCCAATTGGATTATTGTCCAACTTGACGTATAGATAGAATATTATGCCCCAAACACTAAAATATAAAAAAGATACAATTTTTTGAAAACCATATTCTTCTTTTTCTTTAAAAGAATGCATTAATGTTCAAAATGACGTTAACTGTTCACAAACGTGACTACGTCAACGACATAAAAAAGAAAATACTGGCATTTTTTTAATCACAAGCAAAACTTAAGGAAAAAGAAATGAAAGAAATAAAACCTGAACAGGAGAAATATTCACACGGATACCCTTAGATAGGTAGAAGGAGGAGTGTCTACTGCCTTATCAACAATCTCCACCTAGAGCTTGTTCAATCTAACCAGAAATATCACGTTCTCAATTGAGAACAAGGTTAAAAACAACAGAGCTACCGGGCTGACTAATGAGCATCAAACTACTTTATACCGTACAGAAAAAAACTTAGATATGTAGAAATATTGAGTGATTTATCAGTCAGCTGTCGACATCATTGACGAAAACCTCATAATGTTAATACCATAGATCGAGAAAGCTGGGATATAACTAACTAAAAAAGCCTAGTATATACGATGAATATGGTCAACAGTTTTTTTATATATAAACAAATAAGGAAGATTTTCAAGGAGAAAAAGAAGAAGGATAATTAGACCAGGTGTTACAGAAGAATTAGCGTCTGTTGCTTCAACTACGGCACCCGCCATCTCAATATTGGTCAATCCAAGTAAGTAATGCTACCGCCTCAAATGAGAACAAGGTATGCAACAACGGACCATCGGTCAAACTAATGAGCATCAAAGAAATATGATACCGTAAAAACCGCAAATCTTCCCTATAATTATCATCAACCTCTCGAAACCCTGTGTTGTGAGTTTGTCCGTCAGGTGTCAACACTTCGCAAGAAAATCGTGATATATCGGGCCCTTGAATATCGTATCAACTGCGACAGATATTGAAGAAAAATATAGAAATAAGTAGCTGATGTAGAAAAGTCTGTCCTCATCTATTTCCTACTCTGGTGATTAAACTGAAGAACTGAAGGTATTTGTGACCTATTTTGATAAGATCTTTGATAGATTTAGCCTCGAATAAAAACAACATCAGGCCACCCAACAGCGGTAAGAACATCAAGGACTTGGAAATGTAACCATATCAAGTCAGCTGAGAGAGGAGTGCAGTTTGTTCTCATGGGGATATCATTAGTCTGTTGAATATTTTACCTCAAAAAGCAATAAAGATGAAGTCAACCAGACACGTGTTCATTTACACATTTTTGTCCTAAATAATTCCTTCTTGGCTTTAGACGTATCAGATACTATATATAATCGATGTGACGAAGGACTACAGAAATTTCCAGACAAAACAGGTAAATTAGAAATACTTTACAATCCAGTCAAAAATACAAATACAGACACGTTATATTGTAATCCACGGTATTGACTGTGCCAGGAATGTTACAAATCATAGATATATGAATACTTATAAGAGTAATTAAACGAGGACATCTTTACCCATAGTATATATGATAATAGGTCTCTGTATGTACGAGTATAGTCCATCTATTATACTTAGATATGTTGAGAAATACGTCACACAAGGAATATAATTATTGAGGAATGTGACAAAGTTCGATGTTAAAGGGAAACCAGACTTGATTAAGAAATACCGAATAATTCAAATGACCAATTTTCTTACTTTAGAATGTGTTATGAATTAGCTCAAATGTATCCTAATAACAGGAGAACGTTATATGTGCTAGTGTGTGTATATCTGTGAGACAGCTTGAGGACTGTGATGTGGTGATGCACCAGCCAAATCAATAATAAGTAAAAAAAACTTATTTTTTCAAAGTCTAGTTTATATTTGAAAACGTCAAAAATGTTCCCTTTAATACCGATTAAGTATATCTACACATATAGCTTTCTTCTATGCAGATGTAAAAACAACCTCAAGCTGTCAAACTGTTCAGAATTTCACTGAGATTCAAATTAGGTTATAGTACAATCACACTGGATTAATAAATCATACTCTTCAAATGTGTGATCAAGGATTTCGATGGTCTAATAAGTAAAATAGAATAAGAGAAAAACATCCACAATAAAACTTACTATGTCCCCGTGGTATGATAAAGAATGACATCCTCTTAATGACATTATTCATCATACTCACTTAATTCCGCATTAAGTCTAATGTCGTCATTAAAACAGAGCAAACGTCATCATCGCTCCATGATATCATTCGAATGAGTTGAAACGGTTTATTGTTTTAATGCAGTAATTCGTCCGAAAAGCTTATCATTATATATATAGATATATATTCAATACAATTTTGCCACTCGATTGGTGTGTAATAAGTACATCTATGTATCTAGTGTAATGTATCGTCATCAAATGCTGAATGATTATACTGACACAAAAAATTATGTGCTTTCAATAGTTGTAATCATTTTTTATCCTGTAATGGAAGAAGTAATGATAATTTGTGTCGTTTTCGTCGCGAATTTTTTATGGGGTCTCACAGACAAGTTTTACGACTTATTTAACACACTCTTACTAAATCTTAAACCTTCGGATCTGCATATGTTTGCGTGTATGTTGTATAGCGTTTAATAGTTTGGTTTATCATTGCTTTACGTCCTCTTAACAGTCAGTGTCATTAATAGTATAATACAGTGTTTACTAATTATAGGATGGTTTGTAGACACATCCGTATACTTTGTTGTTTTATACATACAATATATATATAATGTCCACTTTAAAAACTTACATTGATACCACAGCGATACCGAACATTTTCTGCTGTCTACGTAGTGTGGCAGTTGTGTACTAAACATTTAGCAGAATAATCCACTGCAACCAGTATGGATTTTATGACCAATATTTTACATGCATTTAAATAATAAAGTTTGTAGTTTTCAATTTGTACTGACATGTGATTGCTTATAGATTTGTCGGGTGGTCAAAACGAGAGACACATGTTTACAACAGATTTCAATTAAAATCGATCGGCACATTCCAAACTCACAACGGACAATAACGTCCGCTGATGTTTATAAATGATTCGTAAATAAGTACAACCAATGACAGACAATGTAATTAAGCTTGAAACAGGGAAGTAAACATGGTCGCCTTGCCTGTCGTAGTGACAGCTCCTCCAGTACGAACTCAGGTTTGGAAACAATAATGTCTCCATTCGACGTGTGCATTTTTGTCGGGGTCTATCGTAAGCCGGGATAAATTAATACACCATATAGAGGTTTAATGATAGATACTCAATATCGGAGCTCTTCTGCTTAATAATGATGAGGGTGTATTAAAGTGTCGACACTCTTAGTCTTGTTGGAACACAATACTGCCTCGTCCTCACACCAATAATTGGCAGAAAAACTCTCGTATTATACAAACAGTGACAATCAAGTGTGATTTAGTATGGCCATCGTCTACAAGGGTTTCATTTAAACTGTGGAATATCCTCATCACATTACCATATTTGACTGAGCCATGCTCGTGCTACGTCCAATTTTAATATAGTTGAAATTATTAATTATTTCATTTACATATCTCGCTATGCTAGGCTTTATATGGGATTCTGTCTAATACAGTTACCCATATTGATTTGGAGTTCGCTAACGATTAAAATAAAGTACAAGTTCTACCAGCAAGTTTATAAATAAATTAACCGCTTAATTGGTTTGATCTCAGTGTGATGTCTGTCCGCATCACACACATTACAAGTTGACCACTGTTGATTTCACGTTGTCCAGATACATTGCACGTGAGCGCTCCAGTCATGGAGAGTTTTATGGACAAGAAATGTAATGTTTTTCTATGTAGTGTTTGAATGGTTTTTTATGCACACATTATCGCTTTTATCTAGATTTGATGTCGTCCAAATGATGCTCATGGAAAAATGGAATCGATTGAAGGCGGAAAAGAACTTTGGGATAATTACCTCGGTAGGTGACTAGTCCATAATGATGGATAGCGAAGTCATTACAAAGGGTAAATAATACATGTAGGTAAAAAAACATAACAAGGTAGAAAACCGCCCCCAAACTAACAAACATCTCATACGATCCCTGGCAAGTTTCTGTCGTATTACTAAATACCATTCGTTATCTAATGTGGCAGTTCAGTTCCAAATACATCTGATTTGTTTCAATTTAGGATTTTTTTTTCTTTTTAAAGTAACCGAGAGTGATGTAGTTCTCATAAAATCGTGCAATTTCGTGTTTCCATAATAGAATAGTACATTTACTTTACGTAGATATTTTTATTTGGCAACCACATATCATACATTGTGACAACACCATGTTTTCCTGCTAAGCGACAACTAAACGAAGGGAAGCAACTCTATAGTTACGTTCGATACCGATGGATGGGCAAGTCTATCCGATGAAGTAGAAAATCATACTATCGCCTTGTCGAGTAATGACTCTTTCTCTTCACATATAGTAATTATACATTAAGTCATACCGTTTTTGATCACTCGTAATAACACCTACAAGAGCTATGATTGACTGTAGGTTCCTATCGTTTCAGTTCTTATTTTACATTCATAACTTCATAACTTCATGGAGTAACCTTGTTGCAAATTTACATTTTTTCCAGTCTAATGAATCTTCCATTGTTTAATTCCATGTAAAATTTACGAAACTTGTAATGAATTTTTTTATTTTCCTGGTCAGAGGTTTCTGAGATTTTTTTAGAAGTTTTATATTGGTTGGATAAGCGACTGATGTAAAAGAGTCTGTCGTGTTACAGATTTCCAGTTTTGGTGGTTTCAATGTATATACGACGGACGTGGCCAATACATTTCTTGTTATTTAAAGACAAAACGTCATCATTATATTTGAAAGTGAAATTAAGCAATTTTGTAAGAGGCGTATAGATAAGGAATTTGAACATGTGTAATGATTTCTTTTGAGTATTGATATGTGTAGTTAGATATACGTCTAATATCATCATATAAGGAACACCTGGTATTGTTCTTGTACTTTTTCAGGAACACCTGGTCTTATTCTCCTTTGATTATTTTTTCAGGAACATTTGGTATTGTTCTTGTCCTTTTTCAGGAACACTTGGTCTTATTCTCCTTGGATTTGTTTTTTTAAGGAACATCTGGCCTTACTCTCCCTGTACTTTTTCAGGAACACCTGGCCTTACTCTCCCTGTACTTTTTCAGGAACACCTGGTCTGATTCTCCGAATTCGAGCTTGAATTATGATTCTGTTGCCATGTTGGTATTTTCTTGATATTTATTAAGTACATTGTGATTTCTATCGAGTAAGTAATGGTTTCGGCGGTAATCCCATGTAAGTTGATATTTTCCTGTAATTACTACTTAGTTAATGTTGATATTTGTAGATGTTGTCACTATCTTTACCGTCATGGGTAATATCTACTGATTCCATGCTGATTATGACAATACCTCAGGTACTCATTAGAATGCAACACTAATTGTTTCATTAGCACAACTTTTATTTCATCGAGATATACGCTTGCGTTTTATAAATCTATTTGACAAATGAAGTTTCTGCGTTCCTCGCAGTTGTCGTCGGACCAGGTAAAGTTCCTATGGAGGTCAAGCAGTGCACAGTGTTCCCTGTTCAGCGCGTTGTCAGGCTCTTTTGGCCCCCAGTTGGCGAAGTTTACACTGCCCTGTTGTGGTAGCCACATCCATTCCCCTTCCACAGCAAGGTCGGAGAGTCCGAGCCAGAACTGTCCAGGCCAGTAGTTACCTAGGTTACAATAAATAAAGCAGTGTTTGAAAACATTGACGAAGTGAAATCAATGTATCACCATTAAAACCAGGAGAAAGATTAAGAGTTAATATCATATAGTACTAATGGGCTGTTCCTTATGCTGATATGGTCTGTGTCTAATACACATACAATTTGTGCACTAAGATGTGTGTCTTTATTCACTTTCCTTTATGGTAACAATCAGCTTCACCTGTCTGTGGTACATACCGCAAATGATTCGAAGTGTGAATTGCAGCAGTGTTATTTCCTTAATAGACAACAAGTCGCTATCATGATCACACGGAGATACATTGTATTTCCTTAATAGACAACAAGTTGCTATCATAATCAGACGAAGGAACATTCTATTTCCTTAATAGACAACAAGTCGCTATCATAATCATACGGAGAGACATTGTATTTCTTTGAATTATATGAAGTCAGATGTGTTAGACACTCGTTAGCATGTCTGGTGGTTTTATGTAAACACTACAATTGAGAGTAATGCTATCTAGAATGACATGGTTGGTGTCGTCGATGAAGCAAGGTTCGTTATACCCGTCTAGGATTTACATGTATGGTCTTATCAGCTTTGTATTTTCAAAATCGTGCAAATCTTTTAGCGTCGATTACAAAGTTTGGAGATTGAATTACTATTTTTTTTCATTTATGTATTCCCTTAGTGGTTGTTATCAAAATTGGGTAAATTACATCTGCTTAGTAACTGTGAAACTGACATGATATACATAAACAGATCATACCAACTGTGATCTGCCAGGCACCACTGGATCCGAAACCAGTTGCAACAGCAACGTAATTGACCTCGTGAGGAGCAGTGTCGTTCCACATCATGAACTGGCTCTTCCCTACAATGCTGCCTTGGCCTACACGGATAATATTATTTGCCCAGCTGATCCAGAATGGCCGATACTGAGAGCACGAGAGAGGATGTGGCATTCGGTTCTGAGTATCCATATGCGCACATTGTTTACAGTCTCGGATGACTGACTGCACATCACCCCATCCACCAATTACAATTTCGTAAGTGTTTCTCGAGTCGACGCCCTTGTCCTGTGATAAAGCAATATGGGCATCGTGACATGCCTTTACTTGGAAGGTGAAGGAGGTGTGCCCAGTCACGTCCAGTCCCATGTCGTGTAGGTAATGGTAATGGTAGTCGTTTCTGGTACTTAGTTGGAAACTTGACTCTGTTAATCAAAACTGCAGGATCATGACCTTGTGTGTTTTATTTATACATGGAAAAGTTTAATTCAGCTGATATTGGCTCATTTCTTTTTATTTTACAATAACAAATACAAATAAGAATATCCGGTTAAATCAAACATCAGAGACAACATTCGTTTGGCTGGAAGCATATGATGTCAGCGGTTCTGTACCAATATTCTATCACACTTACCCTATCCAAGCATTATCAGGATGCTCCTTTGTCATAAAAATACGTTACCGTTATAATGCTGTTTCAGGTAGTTGACTATAAAAGACTGTTGCTCGGCTGTCTCGATGTAAGCAATGTGACCATTCGCAGTGTTACAGTAGCCCTAAATACAGACATGTATGGTCAATTAACACATCAAAATTGCATTCTTTATCAGACAGTAACAATAAGTAATATCTGTATTTCTATAAATATACTATCCTTTCAATCAGAGCAAAATGTTTGTTGGTTTTTGTCAACTTTTGTGGAATTACTATTGTTATAAACTAATTCGTCGGTATATAGCTGTAGTTGTGTTGTCGGGTTGTGTTGTCGGTACAGATCAGTTATTGTTTTGTCGGTACATGCCTATTGTTGTGTTGTCGGTATATGCCAGTTGTTGTGTTGTCGGTACATGCCTGTTGTTGTGTTGACGTACATGCCTGTTGTGTTGTCGGTACATGCCTGTTGTTGTGTTGACGGTACACGCCTGTTGTTGTGTTGTCGGTACATGCCTGTTGTTGTGGGTACATGCCAGTTGTTGTGTTGTTGGTACATGCCTGTTGTTGTGGGTACATGCCAGTTGTTGTGTTGTTGGTACATGCCTATTGTTGTGTTCTCGGTATATGCCAGTTGTTGTGTTGTCGGTACATGCCTGTTGTTGTGGGTACATGTCAGTTGTTGTGTTGTTGGTACATGCCTGTTGTTGTGTTGTCGGTATATGCCAGTTGTTGTGTTGTTGGTACATTCCTGTTGTTGTGTTGTTGGTACATGCCTGTTGTTGTGTTGTTGGTACATGTCATTTGTTGTGTTGTTGGTACATGCCTGTTGTGGGTACATGCCAGTTGTTGTGTTGTGGGTACATGCCTGTTGTTGTGAGAACATGCATGTTGTTGTGTTGTCGGTACATGCCTGTTGTTGTGTTGACGGTACATGCCTGTTGTTGTGTTGTCAGTACATGCCTGTTGTTGTGTTGACGGTACACGCCTGTTGTTGTGTTGTCGGTACATGCCTGTTGTTGTGTTGTCGGTACATGCCAGTTGTTGTGTTGTCGGTACATGCCTGTTGTTGTGGATACATGTCAGTTGTTGTGTTGTTGGTACATGCCTGTTGTTGTGTTGTCGGTATATGCCAGTTGTTGTGTTGTTGGTACATTCCTGTTGTTGTGTTGTTGGTACATGCCTGTTGTTGTGTTGTTGGTACATGTCATTTGTTGTGTTGTTGGTACATGCCTGTTGTGGGTACATGCCAGTTGTTGTGTTGTGGGTACATGCCTATTGTTGTGAGAACATGCATGTTGTTGTGTTGTCGGTACATGCCTGTTGTTGTGTTGACGGTACATGCCTGTTGTTGTGTTGTCAGTACATGCCTGTTGTTGTGTTGACGGTACACGCCGTTGTTGTGTTGTCGGTACATGCCTGTTGTTGTGTTGTCGGTACATGCCAGTTGTTGTGTTGTCGGTACATGCCTGTTGTTGTGGATACATGTCAGTTGTTGTGTTGTTGGTACATGCCTGTTGTTGTGTTGTCGGTATATGCCAGTTGTTGTGTTGTTGGTACATTCCTGTTGTTGTGTTGTTGGTACATGCCTGTTGTTGTGTTGTTGGTACATGTCATTTGTTGTGTTGTTGGTACATGCCTGTTGTGGGTACATGCCAGTTGTTGTGTTGTGGGTACATGCCTGTTGTTGTGAGAACATGCATGTTGTTGTGTTGTCGGTACATGCCTGTTGTTGTGTTGACGGTACATGCCTGTTGTTGTGTTGTCAGTACATGCCTGTTGTTGTGTTGACGGTACACGCCTGTTGTTGTGTTGTCGGTACATGCCTGTTGTTGTGTTGTCGGTACATGCCAGTTGTTGTGTTGTCGGTACATGCCTGTTGTTGTGTTGTCGGTACCTGCCTGTTGTTGTGGTGTTGGTACATGCCTGTTGTTGTGTTGTCGGTACATGCCACTTGTTGTGTTGTCGGTACATGCCTGTTGTTGTGTTGTCGGTACATGCCTGTTGTTGTGTTGTTGGTACACGCCTGTTGTTGTGTTGTCGGTACATGCCTGTTGTTGTGTTGTTGGTACATGCCTGTTGTTGTGTTGTTGGTACATGCCTGTTGTTGTGGTGAGGCGATCGGCATTCCAGCTGATATAATTTTTTAGTATATGCAAGCTAGTTGCATGCTTTTCTTTGTATGTATTTATTGAGGAGATTCATTCCGTACTTATAGATCAGTTGTCTTGTGTCGTGTGTTTATCTATACATACAGGACAGTGTATTCTATACTCTGAAATCAGCTGTTTCGAAAGGTGGTTTTCACACTGTTTCTGTTTTACAGTCTTCTAATACATACCAATGCCCCAGCCCATGTTGCTTCTGTGTTGGACACATAAAAACATCCCTCGTTGTTGACATTGAAGCCTGGAGGACAGCCGTCTAAGGACAGAAAAGATATATAACTACAAGCCAGAGTATATGTAGCGACGAGCATATGTTGGCAATTTCATCTCACACTATTGTCTTCTTTCGTATATTTCCGCGCGTGTAATAACATAGTTGGGGTGAAGATGGGTTTAAACAGAGAGAACAATGGAATAAGATATACAAACTGGATGGTTCACTTCTACGGTGATCTTAAATGAATTAAACATGTTTCTTGACGTGAGCAGCAGAGCACCATTGAACTTAGATCCCAGAAAAAACTACTTTGACGTCTAATGTGGTTTTTGATCGTGCGGTTTTGATTCTAGAGTGCCCGTCACTTCATGTATAAAAGGTTAGGACCGACCGTGAACACTAAATGCGGGTTAAACTAGGAACAAGTGGACATTCCCGGTTCTTAGAAGTCACTCTGAGGGATCAGATTGGGAGGTTGGGAGGGTGGGGTATAATAACACATATAAAGTCGAGATGACAGTTAAGGCAAGCGAATGTCATAACATTAACATCTGATCAATTTGGTTAAGTTAGAAATGACCAAGGTATTTACCTTGCCGTGAGTTTTGTTAGAAAGCTGTTGTATCACTGCGTCTTAAAACGTCATACTATGGCAATGAGGAAGTGTTTACACCTTAATATATGTAAGGTATAACAAGATTCAAAAACATGTATCCGATAAAGGTTGTTGTTGGTGTCAAAAATGTCAGGGTAGGATTTTCCAAGGATTAAACGGAATTTAATTGCTTAGATAATGTAAATATTCAGGTAAAGATAATGAAAATCTAACCGTAAAGAGAATGGATTTCTAACCGTAAAGATAATGAATTTCTAACCGTAAAGATAAGGATTTCTAATCGTAACATTATTATTGTTACTTAAATACAAAAACGTATTAAAATTGTTATTAGAAAAGGAACTTATTTTCATTACAAATGTTAAATCAAAAAGATGCTTATTTCAAAAAGTTATTTTTCAAGGCTGAGAAGAAATTATGAATAAAAAAGAAGAGATAAAGTACCTGACAGTGAAAGTTGAGCGAAGTGTACATGATCTGTTTATAAATTACACTTGAGCAATCGTCTTTGTTATGTAAATAAACACGTATATAGGGCAACATGTTTCTCGTTATTAAATCAACGTCTTACTACCAACAAAATAATGGTACAAACTCACCCTGTGCTAGAATTGGAAGGATCAAAGTGAAGACCAGAACCAGCGGATATAAGGACGCCATTGTTAATGTGCCAGTAAGTACGTTATGGTCACGAATACACACATTAAGAGCTTCTATCTCATGACAGGGGGAAAATTAACTTCGTTATGTATACTATTTAATTATTTTATTTCTATTTTTCAAGTAAAACACCTATTTTGAAATATTTTGGATGAATTAATGAAATTATTTACTGCGTGTCTTTATTCTGTGATAAGATATCGGTTAATAGTTTTGTGGGCCGCGTTCAGCGACATTTGTGAATATTCACAGCCTTGGAGTCAATCACGTGGCTCTACAGACAAAGTGCTAAAGTAATGTCACGTGTACCAGTTTTTCATCTTATGTTTTACAGTTATATATTAATACAGGTATGCTGAATTTCTTAGCATTTACGGTAATTAAAATGCCACATTGATTTCCGTGATTCTTTTTTTATTATCATTATATCAATCATCAAATTTTCACGAAAAGTCTGTGGAAATTTAGATAAATACATAAATAAACCATAATAAATAAATAAACATTGCTACCACTATTGATAATATCATTTCGATGTATTCATTATTAACCGTTTGCTCTACTCTCAAAAAGCGAATATATGTTGAAAATAACAACTTTAACAGTATACCGTATAACGCATCTAGCTATCCTTGTACTTCTTACACACAGAAATAGTAAAACCATATGCATACGTAGTCATACACAATTGTCCTCTTATGTCGCTGTTTTTAAGATTTTCAATAATCATTGTCATTTTCAATTTTAACAGTGATAATTTCATTGGTAGCTTTAACTGTATAATGTTCCATTCTTAACAAACTGCCATTACCATACTAGTCTTTAAAAAATGTATGTTGGAATGGAATATTTTTTTCTATTTCCCTGACGCGGATGTTCAGCATCAATGTACTGCAGATTTTTAATACCGAAGTGCCAGAATAGCTAATAGAACGCTACATCAGCAAAGAAACATGGTAGTAATCGCCATTAAATTCTTTATGCCTACCTTAGTGACAGTTCTGTCTGCTTATTCGGTGTCCCTGTACCAACTTCTCCCTCCAGTTTATACTTTATACAGACCAAAGTTAACTGATGTGATGTCCCTGTATACTTTATACAGACCAAAGATAACTGATGTGGTGTCCCTGTATACTTTATACAGACCAAAGATAACTGATGTGGTGTCCCTGTACCAGCTTCTTCCTCCAGTTAACATTTTATACAGACCAAAGATAACTGATGTGGTGTCCCTGTACCAGCTTCTTCCTCCAGTTCATACTTTATACAGACCAAAGATAACTGATGTGGTGTCCCTGTACCAGCTTCTTCCTCCAGTTTATACTTTATACAGACCAAAGATAACTGATGTGGTGTCCCTGTATACTTTATACAGACCAAAGATAACTGATGTGGTGTCCCTGTATACTTTATACAGACCAAAGATAACTGATGTGGTGTCCCTGTATACTTTATACAGACCAAAGATAACTGATGTGGTGTCCCTGTACCAACTTCTTCCTCCAGTTCATACTTTATACAGACCAAAGATAACTGATGTGGTGTCCCTGTACCAACTTCTTCCTCCAGTTTATACTTTATACAGACCAAAGATAACTGATGTGGTGTCCCTGTATACTTTATACAGACCAAAGATAACTGATGTGGTGTCCCTGTACCAACTTCTTCCTCCAGTTTATACTTTATACAGACCAAAGATAACTGATGTGGTGTCCCTGTACCAGCTTCTTCCTCCAGTTCATACTTTATACAGACCAAAGATAACTGATGTGGTGTCCCTGTACCAACTTCTTCCTCCAGTTTATACTTTATACAGACCAAAGATAACTGATGTGGTGTCCCTGTATACTTTATACAGACCAAAGATAACTGATGTGGTGTCCCTGTATACTTTATACAGACCAAAGATAACTGATGTGGTGTCCCTGTATACTTTATACAGACCAAAGATAACTGATGTGGTGTCCCTGTATACTTTATACAGACCAAAGATAACTGATGTGGTGTCCCTGTATACTTTATACAGACCAAAGATAACTGATGTGGTGTCCCTGTACCAGCTTCTTCCTCCAGTTCATACTTTATACAGACCAAAGATAACTGATGTGGTGTCCCTGTTCCAACTTCTTCCTCCAGTTTATACTTTATACAGACCAAAGATAACTGATGTGGTGTCCCTGTATACTTTATACAGACCAAAGATAACTGATGTGGTGTCGATGTATACTTTATACAGACCAAAGATAACTGATGTGGTGTCCCTGTACCAACTTCTTCCTCCAGTTAACACTCTATACAGACCAAAGATAACTGATGTGGTGTCCCTGTACCAACTTCTTCCTCCAGTTAACACTTTATACAGACCAAAGATAACTGATGTGGTGTCCCTGTACCAACTTCTTCCTCCAGTTTATACTTTATACAGACCAAAGATAACTGATGTGGTGTCCCTGTTCCAACTTCTTCCTCCAGTTTATACTTTATACAGACCAAAGATAACTGATGTGGTGTCCCTGTTCCAACTTCTTCCTCCAGTTAACACTCTATACAGACCAAAGATAACTGATGTGGTGTCCCTGTACCAGACTTCTTCCTCCAGTTCCCTGTATTTTATACAGACCAAAGATAACTGATGTGGTGTCCCTGTACCAACTTCTTCCTCCAGTTTATACTTTATACAGACCAAAGATAACTGATGTGGTGTCCCTGTACCAACTTCTTCCTCCAGTTAACACTCTATACAGACCAAAGATAACTGATGTGGTGTCCCTGTATACTTTATACAGACCAAAGATAACTGATGTGGTGTCCCTGTATACTTTATACAGACCAAAGATAACTGATGTGGTGTCCCTGTACCAACTTCTTCCTCCAGTTAACACTCTATACAGACCAAAGATAACTGATGTGGTGTCCCTGTTCCAACTTCTTCCTCCAGTTTATACTTTATACAGACCAAAGATAACTGATGTGGTGTCCCTGTACCAACTTCTTCCTCCAGTTAACATTTTATACAGACCAAAGATAACTGATGTGGTGTCCCTGTACCAGCTTCTTCCTCCAGTTTATACTTTATACAGACCAAAGATAACTGATGTGGTGTCGATGTATACTTTATACAGACCAAAGATAACTGATGTGGTGTCCCTGTACCAGCTTCTTCCTCCAGTTTATACTTTATACAGACCAAAGATAACTGATGTGGTGTCCCTGTACCAACTTCTTCCTCCAGTTAACACTCTATACAGACCAAAGATAACTGATGTGGTGTCCCTGTATACTTTATACAGACCAAAGATAACTGATGTGGTGTCCCTGTACCAACTTCTTCCTCCAGTTTATACTTTATACAGACCAAAAACAACTGATGTGGTGTCCCTATATACTTTATACAGACCAAAGATAACTGATGTGGTTCTAACTTTCCAGTTTATACTTTATACAGACCAAAGATAACTGATGTGGTGTCCCTGTACCAACTTCTTCCTCCAGTTTATACTTTATACAGACCAAAGATAACTGATGTGGTGTCCCTGTACCAACTTCTTCCTCCAGTTAATACTTTATACAGATAACTGATGTGGTGTCCAAAGATAACTGATGTGGTGTCCCTGTACCAACTTCTTCCTCCAGTTCATACTTTATACAGACCAAAGATAACTGATGTGGTGTCCCTGTACCAGCTTCTTCCTCCAGTTCATACTTTATACAGACCAAAGATAACTGATGTGGTATCCCTGTACCAGCTTCTTCCTCCAGTTAACATTTTATACAGACCAAAGATAACTGATGTGGTGTCCCTGTATACTTTATACAGACCAAAGATAACTGATGTGGTGTCCCTGTACCAACTTCTTCCTCCAGTTATACAGACCAAAGATAACTGATGTGGTGTCCCTGTATACTTTATACAGACCAAAGATAACTGATGTGGTGTCCCTGTATACTTTATACAGACCAAAGATAACTGATGTGGTGTCCCTGTATACTTTATACAGACCAAAGATAACTGATGTGGTGTCCCTGTATACTTTATACAGACCAAAGATAACTGATGTGGTGTCCCTGTTCCAACTTCTTCCTCCAGTTAACACTCTATACAGACCAAAGATAACTGATGTGGTGTCCCTGTACCAGCTTCTTCCTCCAGTTAACATTTTATACAGACCAAAGATAACTGATGTGGTGTCCCTGTATACTTTATACGGACTTTATACAGACCAAAGATAACTGATGTGGTGTCCCTGTATACTTTATACAGACCAAAGATAACTGATGTGGTGTCCCTGTACCAGCTTCTTCCTCCAGTTAACACTTTATACAGACCAAAGATAACTGATGTGGTGTCCCTGTACCAACTTCTTCCAAAGATAACAGTTGTCCCTGTACACTTTATACAGACCAAAGATAACTGATGTGGTGTCCCTGTACCAACTTCTTCCTCCAGTTATACAGACCAAAGATTTGTGGTGTCCCTGTATACAGACCAAAGATAACTGATGTGGTGTCCCTGTACCAGCTTCTTCCTCCAGTTTATACTTTATACAGACCAAAGATAACTGATGTGGTGTCCCTGTATACTTTATACAGACCAAAGATAACTGATGTGGTGTCCCTGTACCAACTTCTTCCTCCAGTTTATACTTTATACAGACCAAAGATAACTGATGTGGTGTCCCTGTACCAGCTTCTTCCTCCAGTTTATACTTTATACAGACCAAAGATAACTGATGTGGTGTCCCTGTACCAACTTCTTCCTCCAGTTTATACTTTATACAGACCAAAGATAACTGATGTGGTGTCCCTGTACCAACTTCTTCCTCCAGTTTATACTTTATACAGACCAAATAAAACCTGTTTATTCCCTGTCTACTGTCTGCGACACTATTCTTCCAAATATTCAAACCTTTCTCATCGATATTTCGGCAATGCCTCCGAAATTGCCGGTGTTTTAACCCCCCTGTCTGGTAGGGATCAGTGTAGATTAATTAATTTATGGA